ACAATTCTCGCGGCTTCCGCGACTTTCAAGATTACACGCTCGCGACTTGCTGCTCGCCCAAACTCTCTGACTCTTCATTTTTGCGCACAATCTCAGCGGCTCGCGACTTTGAAGCATGCGCGCTCGCGTAACTTGGGCCTTGGCCTGGTTAAGCGGCTCGGGAGACCTTCATCGCTGCGCTCGCGGAATTGGCCTGGGAAACTCAACGGTCCTTCTTCATTTGCAACTTCTCGCTGCTCGCGGACTTTCAAGTACGCGCTGCGACTTGTGCCCGATAACTCCACTGTCTCTCATCTGGTGCTATTGCGCGCTCGCGGACTTGCAAGGCGCGCTCGCCGGGAACTTGTGTTTGTCATGCACTTATTGGACTTCTTTTCAATGCAATTGTATATTCCTTTGCCTTCACCTTATATGCCTCCAATTCATTTTATACCAAATTTACTAACATCTAGAACATGATATCAAAAACAAACATCAAGCAAATGCCAAATGATGTGAAAATCAAATTTAAACATTACTGAATTATGAAGTTTATGGAACATTAATATGATGTTTTTATATTATTATTACAATACCAACATTATTGCTCCATTGGAGGTTAGGTAGAGAGGAAACCATTGTAGAATAAGGGCTATTGCGCGACCATAGGATTAGCAAGATCTGCACCTCATACCAGTTTGGATACCTCCGGCTAACAGGCCGTTGAGTGGTATGATTATATATGGGCCCATAAGCAGGAGCCAAAGCATTAAAGTATTTCATCCAGTTTCATTACAGTTTTTCTTTATCAACTTTCGGTTTCATACTAACCTTTTATGGCACCATACAGGATATCTTGACATAACATTTCATGAATTATACAGTATTAAACAGTACAAAAAGGTAATCAAGGTATCATGAAAGTATCATGATGTGTTGTCTTATATCTGTGCCATATGTGTTTTACATGTGGTCTTTCTATACATGTCTGTGTTAATTTTTCCTTATATGTTGAGATATCCCCACTTGAGCTGTTATTTGCTCAGCGAGTTACCTGTTTAACTCGGCAGGTTTTGAGATGGGAACCGTAGAGAGTTCAGCTTACCAAAACTGCTGCAGTTCAATCTGTTCAGAAAGGACTTCAATCTTCAGGAGGTAGCTAACTCATTTGATTGTTATCTTTGTCTATCCTTTTTTATGCATGTACAGGGGCACTCAGTTGGGCCATTTCATTTGGACACTAGTTGTCCATGTTTTGTAAATTATAAATTACATTATTTTGTATACAACATCAGCATGATATTATATATTCATATACATTATTGATTTCAGGCATATTATATTCAATATACATTATGATTTCAGCATGTCAGGCCATACAGTCAACCAGTTTGTAGCGTCTCGGTCCGGTTCATTCGGGTTTACGGGTGGGCCGGGAAGGGGTGTTACAAGAAAAGTGTCGAACCACTCATCCAAACACTCATTAGTATAAAATATAATTTTTGAATTAGCTATAACTAAAGCTATTTTAGGATATTCTAAATTTAATTAAGGGCGATATCGGAAATCTTATTATTTTCTCCTATTTCCACATTTATATATAGTATAAATATAGAAGTATAGAACAGAAGTATAGATTTGTTATGCATTTTAATTAAAGAAACCATTATCCTTTTAGTTGTATTTGTTTATTTTTATTGTTTTTTAATTGGAGAAAATAGATTTCATTTATCCTTTTAAATATCCTTTTAGTTAGATGTTTTTAGGCGTAATGACAAAAAAAAAAAAAAAAAAAAAAAAAAAAAAAAAAAAAAAAAAAAAAAAAAAAAAAAAAAAAACTGAACTTTGACCTATTTATCAATTTTAGCCAATTTTTAAAATTTTATCAATCAATACCGAGTACTTAATTTTTTATATAAATTCTAGCCTCCGTTTGTGATCCGTCAGTTTCATGCTAATGTGGCAGTTATCTCTCACAAGTGGGCCCTAAAACATCCAATATCAGCGCCAAACCATATATCTATATATATTAAAAAAAAACGCCTGAACTTTAAATTTTTTATCAAATCTAGCCAATTCTTTTAATTTTACCAACCAATACCGCGTACTAATTAATCTCTATAAAATGATTTTGTTATATTGATATTTATTCAATTAAATAATTTATTAATTAACTACATATATTAAGTGTATAATGGGATTAATCAATTAGAATTCAACAATTTTTACTGAAGGAAGTTCTTTTTAAAAATATTATTTTAATATACTAATATTAGAATTCAATTTTACTGAAGAGTCTTTTAAAAATATTATTTTTAATATACTAATTGATAACATTTTTAAGTAATTTTAAAATAACATTTTTAAAAAAGACTATGTAGTAAAATTGAAATCTAATTTATTAATCACATTAGACATATACATTGTTAATTAATAAACTATTTAATTGAATAAATATCAATGCAACCAAATCATTTGATAGAGATTAATTAATACGGGGTATTGATTGATAAGATTAAAAGAACTAGTAAGATTTGATAAAAACTTTAAAGTTCAGGCTTTTTTTTTAATATACGTGGATATATGATTTGACACTTACATTGGATGTTGTAGGGCTCACTTGTGAGAGATAATTGCCACATCAGAATGAAATTGACGGAAGACAATTGAATGCTAGAATTGATACAGAAAATTAAGTACGTGTTAATAAAATTAAAAGAACTGGCTAGAATTGATAAAAAGGTCAAAGTTCAGGCTTTTTTTGTCATTAAGCCATTTTTTATGCATTTTAATTGAAAAAAAAATCATATATGCATTTTCTCTATTTGATATTGCATTATTATTGTCGAATAGGTTTAATAATTAATAGATTTTGATGTTCTTAATTATAGGTTCTCATGCGATGTTGCTTTCTAGAAGATAAATCAAAAACTTAAATTCAAGTATTGAAAATGTGGGTAAACACTTTACTATTAGACTCTATTAGTTAAATGCAATGAAATTAAAATAAAATTTTTTAAATATATTCTTTCTCTTTGATTTTTTTGGAGACGATGGTGCACACTAATTTGACTAGTTACACATTATTGTATTTGACTAATATTATATGATTTTTTCCTTTTTAATATAATGAAATATTGTTAAAAAAAATGCTATAAAAGTTTGAATTAATGAAAATGGCTATTTGGACATATTTGCTATCATTTTCATTTTCAGTTTTTCTACATTAAAGATGCAATGATGAAAAAGATTCAAGAGCTCTCTTTTTATTTAATATTTTAGATTGCAATTGATGAAAAAGAAAGATCAAAGAAGCTCTCTTTTTATTGAATTATTTTATTAATTTTATTTGGAAAATTTAATCGATTTAATTTAAGTTATAATTTTTAAATGGAATTGTATTTTTTTTAAAATAATTTTGAAAAAGTAGATATTAAAGTAATTAGATATTTGCTATCATTTTCATTTTCAGTTTTTCTACATTAAAGATGCAATGATGAAAAAGATTCAAGAGCTCTCTTTTTATTTAATATTTTATTAATTTTATTTGGAAATTATCGATTTTATTTAAGTTTTATAATTTAAATGGATGTATTTTTTTTAAAATAATTTGAAAAGTAGATATAAAGATAATTAGATCTTTAAAGTTTAATTTTTATAAAAAAATTTTTAAATAAATAAATAGGACTTTGAAATTTTTGAATTTAATATATATATATATATATATATAAACCTTAGAGATGATCTTCCATTATCAATATTATTATTTGTACATTGATTTTTAAATAACATTTTAATTTTTATTTATGTCATTTTGAAGCTTTTTTTAGTAAAGAAAAATTTTTGAAACAATTGGAATAAAAGTAATTGCATGATAAATATAAAATTAGATATTGCAAAATTTTAATTACCTTTAATGATTTTGCCAATTTTATATTTATTGTGTTTCTTTACACTTTGAGTTAGTTTAAAAAAAATATAAAATTAAAAATTAAAAATAGATTTAAAAACGAGTTATCTAAACACATCCAAGGATTTAAAAACATATAAAATAGCAATTTATGAATGAATTTATTAATTAATTAGCATTGTTAACATAAAGCAGACATATAAAAACGGATATAGAGACAGAACAACGACGGATTTAGCAAAAAAAAAAAAAACGTAGAAACAGATTGAAAACGAAATTCGTTCTTTAGAAGGTCAAAATTTAGAAACGGATTTACTGAATATTAGCAACGGATACAGCCGCCGCATTATTGAAACGGATACTATATCCATTTCTAAACTTGTTTAGATACAGTTTGATTTTTATCACTTGTTTTATAAATAGTAGTCCTTTTATTTTTTATTTTTATTTTATAAAGTATGCTAGTTAAAGGGGAGAAAAATACTTTATATTATTAATCTTAAATGAGTAAAAATACATGTTAAATCTCCTAATTAAGCATTTATAATCCATTAATTCAAGCTGGATAACTTAAAAAAATTAGCACAAACCTAATTTAGACAATGATTATTAATACAATGTTTTTCCATATTATAGCGGACTAATATTTTAAAAAGAATATAAATGAAAAGTGCTACGTTTTAGAGTTATTTTTTTAATAAAAAAAATGCTATTTTAAAGGCAGAGTTAGAAATATTATTTTCTTTTCGGTTAGAGATTAGCGTGCATGATATGTAACAAAAAAAAAATTATATAAATAAAGTGATATAAATTAATTATTGCATTTATTTTAATCTACATAAAAATTTATAATTAATATTATATAAATAAAAAATTAAAAAATAAATTAAAATAAATATATAACGAAGATAATCAATATGTTCAATGTATTTTTTAATCAAAAGGTGACAGTAATTTATATATTTAGTCTATATTAATAATAAATACTTAATAATAATAATAATAATAATAATAATAAATGATTAATGATGTGGCAAGATAAGGATCCGGTCAATTGAGGAAAAAATAAAAAAATAAAAAAGTAGTACCACCTAGTAGGAAGTGACAGTATAATTTTTTCTCAAAAAATTCAACTAGCCCAGATCAGATTCAATCGTCTCTGCCATTGGCAAAATGGTTTTTTCTTCACTAATTCGCTGTGCCATTGCCAAGAGGCTCCGCTCTACGAAGCCCCACTCCGTCTTACCATCTTCTTCTTCTTCGCTTCCTACTGCTACAGCTAGATGTTTTCACCACGTTGGTGGTGGTGGTGGTGCTGGTGCCGATCCCAGCGGCGGCTATCATGATAATAGCATGGCGATTCCCAAGAGAGGATATCATGTGAGCTCAGGTGGATTCATGCGTGGTGTTGTTTTTAGGGAGCCCAATAAACCTCTCACCATTGAAGAATTTCATATACCTCGTCCTAAAGCGTCTGAGCTTCTAATTAAAACCAAAGGTAAATCATTTCCTTCTTCTTCTTCTTCTTCTTACTGATCAACCGTGTTGAATTCGATCATTATCTAGCTTTCATAGTTTATTAAAAAATTGATTTTTTTTTACCTTTTTATATAGCTAATATTGTTTGGAAATTGATCTTTATTGAAAATCTAGGGAAAGAATGAAGCACACTCTTCTTCTGTTTTTTTTGTGCTATCAGCTGTCATCTGTTTGGATGATGAGAATAGAGAAAATATGAGAAATAGGAAACTGAGAATTCATTTATCTTTCAACAACTCGTACGAATTTATTTCTCTGCCAGTAATCAGTATATATCTTTTCGTATAGTTAACAGTCTAACTATGTTGTCTTCAGCGACAAGTTATTGACAACCTCATTTCTTGCTGCTTGGCAGACTAGATATTTTGACCACTGGTTTGACTTGACTGAGATGAGAATCAAACAATACAATTAGGCTTAACCATCTGAAACTTTGACTGTCTTTTCTCATGTCAATTAACAGTCAAAGTTTGTTTTTAGCCAAAAAAATGAAGTTGTTTTACCTATGCAAGCAATATAATTTAAAATTCTATGATATCTCTTTGCTTCTTCATTTCCTTCTTCCGCAATTCCAAAATTTTTATTTGTACATCTAAGCTTTTAACACTCGTCATTTTTCTTATCTACTCTACCCAAAGTGAAGTGCCATTTATTAACTTGTTTTTCTTAACCGACTATTCTTTTAGAAGTTATTAGATTATTGGGACATTGCAAAGAACTAAATGCATATTGTATGCACCAAAATTTAAGCAATAGAACTATGGAAGGAGAAGCGGGTGAAGTAGGGGTATAATGGTCCTGCAAAGCACCTTTATTTTAATGGAAATATTGTTCTTGTAATTGAGGACTAAGGTTTTTAGATGTTCATAACCTCAGTTACCAAGGTACCTAGTTTTGAAAGAAAAAGGATGAAAGCGTATATTGCATCAAAGGTTTCGTTAAATTACCCAATACAATTAGCATGACAAAGATGAGAATGCGAAAAGGGATGTGTAAAAATATAGGATTCAATAAGGGATGAGTGATTTTGTAGCAAGGTTGAAGACCCATTAATGATTTGTTGATATCGGGACTATATAATTGTTGGATCATTGATATCATAGATGAAGTCATTGCTAAATAAGGTCAAGTATATATATGTTGCTAGAGGGGAGAATATGAGGGGTAGACTGAGATAGCTTGGAAGTTTTTAGTAGCACTATATGTTGTTGTAGGTGTAGTACTTAATTGAGTGGACAGGAGTAGAATGATCCATATAGTGAATTCCAACTTTCATTAAGGTTAAGAGTTAGTTGAGTTGGGAGCTATACATTTAATAGAAAGTTTAAATTTCTTTGTGTCCTATTCATTTTTAGGTAGAATTCATTTAGAAATGGATATCTATGTTTGTGAAATTTAAAATTTGAAATTCAATTGAATTACGCAAAATTTGTGTTGGAATGAATTTAGAATTTAAATAAAGGTATAATAATTTCTTAAAACACCTATAGTGGGAGTTAGAGATAAACAAGGGGGGAGAGAGAGAGAGAGAGGGAGAAAGATAGATAGAGAAAGATGGAAAGAAAAAATGAGAAAAATGGAGAGGATAGAGAAAGAGAGAGGAAGCGAGACAGAAGAGTGAGAAAGAGGAGAGAGATAGAGAGGAAGATAATGAGTTAAAGAGAGAAGAGGAGAAAATAGAAAGATGGACGAATAGAGAGGGAGAGAGAAGGGAATAGATGGAAGATAGCAGTCCAGTCCAAAATTTAGTTCTATAAGTTTTTTGGGTATATTAATAAATTAGTTTCAATATAACATACCATGTTAACCATTTCACCGCTATAAAAAAATCCAAATCTCTAAAGTTGTATAATAATAATAATAACAACGTTACCTTAGATTTGTGATTGATATTGGTTGAATCTTTATCCATAGATATTTGCATTTCAGATCACTAATTTTATCTTTCCAAATTGCTAACAATCCATAATTTGATCTTGCAATTTAGAAAGCAAATCACCAGGGTGCAATTGTAGTGACAATGATTATTTGAAGAATTGAAATGAATGTTTCTTCACATACCAAACATGAAAATTTGAGTTTGAGCTTTCAATTGAATTTTACAAAATTTTATGGAATTCATTTATATCAAATAGGGAGTTGGTATTGTTCAATTCAATTAAATCACCCTACTCAATGTCTTTGTTTGGCATAGAATAAGAATAAGACACCAACCATTTTTACTTTATGCATCCTTGCTCAATTCAGAACTCGTGGGAGTATTTTTCCATTTTCACGCACCTAGGCCATGTTTAGTTGGGAGTAAGAATGGAATAGGGAATGAGATGGAATGGAATAGGGAATATAATTCCTATTCGAGTGTTCAGTATGCACCATGGAATAGGAATTCAAATTACATTCATGTGTTTAGTTGACAGAAATAATAGAAGGAATAAAATGGAGAATTAGTAAAAAGACCAAGAGACCCACATCAATTAATGTACTATAAATTAATTTATTCAATTAATTGTTTTAGTAAAGAAGGGTTATTCTCTACTTTAATGTACTTTAATATTTGAAAATAATGAAAAGGAAAAATGTTTTTCGATCTATAATTTTTATTTCTAATAATTTAAAAAATATATATGATATTCAAAGCCATACAAATGTAGGAAATATCATTTATATTATAACCTGTCAATGAGTATCATAGATTGTATCTAAATAAATATTATTATAATATAATCAAATATGATTAAATAGCATGGCAATAAAAATAAAGAATAATGAGAAGAGAAGAAAATGGAGTTATAAATTTTTATTAAAAGATCTTGACTTGGTATGGTGCAAATGCGATGCCTTATTATAATTATTGGAGTTGATTTTTTTTTTTATAGCATAAGGACAAAATTGGACCAAAGAAGAAAGAGAGAGAAAATATGGTAGACCAAAAAAGATATATACCATAAGAGCAACTAAGCCTCGTAATAGCAATTCAGAGGGGAATCTGAGAGTTGCAATTACATGGTTTATTGTAATATCTATTACAAACCAACCAACTGTTTTACTAGTGAACAAAGGAAAAGGGAGTAGAAGTCCCATTCCCATTCCTATTCAAGCTACTAAAGTTCGCCCTAGTGTATAATAATCATGAATATATGTATGGCTGTTCGCTCTCTTTCATTGGGCATATTATGGAATTTCCATGACTTTCTATGATTGTACTTATTTTGATATTAGTTTTGATAGTATTTCTCTTCAGTGCAGCTTGTGGAGTTTGCCATTCTGATCTCCATGTTATAAAAGGAGAACTTCCATTTGCTAGTCCTTGTGCTCTTGGGCATGAAATAACTGGTGAAGTTGTTGAACATGGGCCATTGACAGATAGAAAAACTATCGAAAGGTGCTAAATCTTATATGCTAAATAGTATAAGATTAGATGATATGATTTTTAATATTAGTGGTTCAGAAACATGCACACACACCAAAAAAAAAAAAAAAAAAAAAAAAAAAAAAAAAAAAGTTCAGAACATGCACACAACTCAAAAAAAAAAAAAAAAAAAAAAAAAAAAAAAAAAAAAAAAAAAAAAAAAAAAAGATAAGGAAAAACTATATTTTTAAGTTAATATTTTGTTGTGCAAAGATATAGCAGGTAAATGAATAATGATTAAGTCTTCTTGTTTTTCAGATTTCCAATAGGATCTCATGTTATTGGAGCTTTCATCATGCCTTGTGGTAACTGCCTGTACTGTTCTAAGGTGACACTACATTGAGATGTTGTGTTCTTGTATTTAGACCGTTTTTATCATTAGACTTTAACCAAAGAAAAGGTTAAGGGAGGAGCGTACTGAGAAAGAAAATCAAATTGTAATCTGTCTTTTGTCTGTGTCTAAGGTTATAAGAAATTGAAATAAGTAATTCCAAACAATAAAATAGTCTACTAAAGAACTAAAAATCATATTTTATACCATATGCCCCTGAAGTTACACAAAGTGCAAAAAAAAAAAAAAAAAAAAAAAAAAAAAAAAAAAAAAAAAAGAAAAAGAAAAAGAAAAAAAAAGATAGAAAATTCATCATGTCACAAAATGAAGTAGGTCGTAGGATAGCTGGGAGGGCTGGTTTTTAGGTGAATTTTTGGCTTATTAGAAAGCTGTAGTCAGTAGATATTGTAAGTGAATAATTAATAGCTAGGACTTGTATGGGAACAGGCTAAAGAGGCAAAGAGAACATAAAAAGGATGATTATAGGGCTTTCTGTGATGAAATTAAAGCTTTGTGAACAGTACTCGTGAATAGTGATGTATCATGTAGATAGTAATAGGTGAATAGGAAAATAGAAGGGTGTATAAGTTTCATACCTAAACATTAGGAATCATACCCAAGGTGTAGATTGCTTTGGTTAAGAAAAGAAGATGTAATATGACAAAAGTGAAAGTTAAAGAGAAAAGCAGAATTTTTTTTGTTGCAGTTAATGTGTGTGTGTGTGTGTGTGTGTATTTATTTATTGTTTCTCATGCAAGCTACTTTTATATTATGACATTTATCATTTCTTTTAGAAATCAAAATTAATAAAAAGTAGAAAACAAATGATTGAACCATTACATTCTTACATTAAATATTTATCATTATATTGCAGTTTTAAACTAAAAAAAAAAAAAAAAAAATTGCAGTTTTTAAAAACTAAAAAAAAAAAAAAAAAAATTGTGGGCAAATTACTATTTAGTAACTTTATAACATAACAAGCTTTGAGTTTTCTTGCCTTCAAATAAAATGATTCTGGATTTGTTTGTGTTTGGAGCACTTCAGGCGTGTTCTGGCAATGATAATCATTTTTGGCCGCTAATAAAAAAAGTAAACAACTAACGCTAATTTGATTATTGCCATGATTTTAAAAAAAAAAAAAAAAAAAATTGTGGGCAATTACTATTTTAGTAACTTATAACATAAAAGCTTTGAGTTTTGCCTTCCAAATAAAATGATTCTGGATTTGTTTGTGTTTGGAGCACTTCAGGGTGTTCTGCAATGATAATCATTTTTGGCTAATAAAAATATACAACTACCTAATTTGATTATTGCCATATTTGGAACAGGGCCATGATGATTTATGTGAGGATTTCTTTGCATTTAACCGGGCAAAGGGAACTCTTTATGATGGTGAAACTCGGCTATTCCTCCGCAGCAGTGGTAATGAACTCTTTGCTTAAGAAATTGCATTTCTATTTATTTGTTTATAAATTATGCAAATCGTTGCAGAGCTTTAACCACAAGTTCCACATACTTGATAACCGTTTTGAATCATTCAATCTTTGTTTACTACTTGCACTCATGACATTTTTTGCCTTGTCTGTTATTAATTTAATGTTGATGAATGGCTGGATATTAGAGATGATCTAAATGGCTATCATCTGCTTGTATACTACGCCTGCTACAAGAATCTGTTACATGTTAAATTAAAAGGTAGTGTTGTGTTTATAATCACGGTAAACCAGATATTATGTTTATCTCTTAATGGATGTTCTGATGGGGTGGATCCCTTTTCTAGCTGCTATATACTTAGCAGAAAGTGATTGCTGCTATTTCAGCTCAAGAAATGGAACTTTGTAAGCATTTATCCTGTTATGTGCATAATTTTTGGCATGAGGTGGATTTCGGCTCAGTTGAGTTGAGTTGATTTCTTCGATAAACAAATACCTTTCGTTAGGGTGCTTATATAATTCGTAAACTATCTCCAACTAGAAAGGATGGTAACACAAGACAGCTTGGGAAAACTTGAAGTTTTAGGAGATTGGGATGGGGTTTACAGAAATCAATAAGACATCTGAGAATTTCTTTAGAAAATAAAGAAAAAAATTAAGCAAATGAAAATAAACCACTAGCATCACAATAATGGGATCTAGGACACACTCCTATCAAGGAAGAATCACTTTCTAGGGTTAGAATTGCAGCACACGACTCAAAGATAGAAGCATAATCTTCGTAATTTATTGACTGAAAACTTCAGTTAAAACTCTGGATATTTATAGACTCAAAACTACTCCCAAACCTTTACTTAATATTTCAGAACTGGTCCTCATCCTTCAAGGATTTGGAGTTCCAAAATAAACTAAAAAGGAATGCTATTATCGTAAAATCGAAAAGGACTCCAAACAACTTAAAAATAAATTTAGATGTTCCTAAATAAATGGGGACACCATTTTAAGCCGAAAAATTAAAGAATCAACCCTTACACAGTTCTTCTGTGGCAACTTATTTGTTTAAACTGGACATATAAATGTAACTCTAAGAGGACTAGGAATATACTATAATATCTGCAATAAATAGTAGATAAAGCCCAGAGCATAATTCTAAAATTCTAGAGACTTTGGATGTTCTTGATTTCCTTGTCGGCATCCTTTCCTTTCTAATTAAATGATTAAACAGCACAGGTTTTCTTCTAGAATCGCTGCTTTTTTATTAGCAATGGACATAATGAGCTGCTTTTCATAGTTTCTTTGTGCAAATAAGAACCAAGATGTGTTTTCTGCTTTCCTGTCATTTTTAAATTGAGCAGTCAATGAAGACATCTTCTATGTACTTCTCTCGATAATGGATAAGTAATGGTATTAAATTTCAGTGAAGGTATAAATAAAATCTTATTAAATTTTTGTAGGCTCATTGGGCATGGGAGCGTCCACCAAACAACATATTCTATTTTTTACTTGTATGACTTTTGGAAAAATGGCCTAAGCCATTTTAACTAGTAACCAACAACCTTATATGCCCCTTTCTTTTTGCATTACTCTCTGCAATGAAGGATTGTATCTCTCTCTCTCTCTCTCTCTCTCTTCCCCCCAAACACTCCCTCTCAAGAGTAAACACCAACCAATTGTTGATACTTGACACTTGCTCTACACATCAAGGCTTCCATCTTGCATGGGCAGACCAGGTTGCCATCCTAGCTCCAAATCAGCATGCGTCTCCTGCACATCATGCCATGGGTTATCCTTAGGTCCAGGTCTAGGATCTCTTGAGGCCAATGAGGCATTGGGCTCTTATACCATGGTTGGCTCATTGCGCTTGGAATGTGGCAAGCAAACAAATTATTTTGTTTATCACTCAATGGGCCTTTTATGGTTATCTCTTCCATTATGGTAGGCATTTTAACTAATAACCAACAACCTTATCTCTCTTTTCACTTTCTTCCAATGTGGGATGGAGGGATTGCATACTACTTCACTTTCCAATACTCCTGGTTTTGCCTATAAATTTTGGTTCTCTTTTCTTGGTTTTGGCTGGAACTACGAAGGTATTGGTCCCAGACCTCCTCTTTCTTCTATAATTGCCATAAATGGAATTCTCATGCTTTCCTTGTCATGAAGTGGTTTAACTAAAACTCAGGATTAGAAATCTGGATACCTTCTCACCTTTACATGATAATTGGAATTTTCAGTTGTAGCCAGAATCCAGTCAATCATAAAGCATCGCTTCAGTGTGCTTTACATTTGTGTATTTATCATGGATATATATTTTTTAAATCTGAAGGTTGTATCTATATGGTGGGAATTGTGGGGCATGTTTCTTCAGGTGAGTTGCTTTCTTGCTTGTCTATATATTATTACCGGTAATGAATTTGATATGAATTTTGGTTGTCTTTTCGACCTATCAAATATCCGCTCTACAGAACATGCATTTGACACTACTGTTTATGCTGTTCCTAATATCCGCATGTGTGTGAAATGCGTGTTGGTTTATGTTAGAGACATAAAAGATGATATTGGATCTAACTATGAGTTTGAGTTACGAAAATTGGTTCTTTGATATTGGAACCTGTTTGATTAAGTAATGCAGAGTTTGAATTTTAGTTATAGAAAACTTCAGCATAATGTTTTGGTTGATTGGTATTGGGCTTCTGCAACAAAAGTATGCTAGAGATATAATCTTTTATTGAGTGTTCATTTGATATTTTTGGGTTGAGTGGTTCTTTCAAGGTTTTGTGCAACAATAAACTTGCATTTGTGATATTATTTACTCAAACTGCTTCAGTTAAGTTTTCTTTATGCAGTTGTCCTTTTCAGGAAAAATAAGTTTTCTTTATGCAGTTGTCCTTTTCAGGAAAAATAATCTGCATATTGTTTGTGGAGCATATATGCCATTATTGGAACATCAAAAGTATACCTTAATATGCAGGAAACCCAGTCTTCATGTACAGCATGGGAGGCCTTGCTGAGTATTGTGTAGTTCCAGCAAATGCATTGACTATTTTACCAAACTCATTGCCATATACAGAATCTGCAATTTTAGGATGTGCAGTATTTACTGCTTATGGTGCCATGGCACATGCAGCAGAGGTGCATCCTGGGGATTCTGTTGCTGTTATTGGAACTGGGGGTGTTGGCTCGAGGTAATATTGAACTGTTATGACCATTATTTGAAATTGAACCTTCAGATACTGTTACTCGAACAGTGCAATCATGCCTTTTGCATTTTTTATTTTTTGGTTGTTTTTGCAATTTATGAATCTTCTAGGGCCTCTCTTATGTTTTGCAATTTCCATTTGCATGTCTTATGACCCAGTTCTTGGAAAAGTACCAGGAAGGATGTTTTGGGTTAGTTTAGCCATCTGAATGTTGAATTTTTGCACTTAACCCAAAAAAACCATTTGATACTTTACAAGGAACATTGTAAAGATCTTTTTTCTTTCTTGTAACTATTTCTTAGTTCAACCAATGAGAAAGTGGCATTTGACACCTAATTTATAAACTAATGTTGCGAGAATATCTTTTATTTTATTTTTTTTGTTAGTTCAATGAATGAGTCAATGAAATTCTTGCTTAGGTTGAGTTCATGGGGACCTCTTTGACATGAGATGAGTCTCGAATGATTGAGTAAAAAGTTCTTCAAATGGACAACATTCAAGTGAACAATATTAATTTGAAATTTAAGGGACAAACAATTATGAGTTCAAAATATCTCAATTTAAATTGTTTTTATCAATTTTAAATTAAAGTAAAAAATTAATTTGTGTAGTTATTTCAATGGATCAAACACTAAAAGCACCTAATATTTTCTATATAATACATGTGTATTTATAAATTTTCTTTATTTGAGGTTGGGTTGATCCAACTCAATACCATGTGGCTTTACCATTGGGAACAATGATATTTGGCATCCTAATTATTTGGGGTAGTCCATTGAAATTAAAATAATTTGAAAGCCTTTGCTTCTGTTCGCTTATTTATTTCTCTGGCAGCCACATACATTGTCTTTTACACCAATTAGATGTCAAGAGTGCTTTTCTTCATTGTGATGTTCAGGAGGAGGTCTATATGGAGGGACCTCCTGGTTCTGTTGCTCAGAGGAGGGGTAGGGTAAAATTTGCTGGCTTCAGAAACCCTCATAAGGCTTGAAATAGAGTCCTATGGCTTGGTTTGGGAATTTAGTGAGGTGGTTCAGGAATTTGGTATGCAAAAGAGTAATTGTGATCATTCTATGTTTTGTAGACTTGTGAGGCTTGCCTAATCTTGCTAGTAGCATATGTAGATGGTATTGTCATCACTAGGAGTGACACTATAGGTATCTCGTCTCTCAAAACCTTTCCTCAAACCCGGTTTCAAACAAAGGACTTGGGTCTGTTGAATTTTGTTTGTTATGTGGGCATTGAAGTTACAAGGTGTAAGGAAGGTATCTTCTTATCTCAGAGAAAGTGTGTTCTTGATTTATTTTAGAACAAGGAAAATAGGTTCTAAGCCTTGTAATTCACCAATTACTCTGGACCTACAACTTGCAGTAGGGGATGTTGAGTAGTTTAAAGATCCTGAGATGTATAAAAGGTTGATTGGCAAACTGAACTACCTTGATATGACTTGTCTAGATATTGCATACTTTATGAGTAAAGTCAGTTATATCCTCTCTGACTGTTATGCATCCGAAAGCTTTGGGATAAATTTTGTGTTACTTGAAAGGAGCTCCAAGACATGGTCTATTATACAATAATCTTGGACATTCAAATGTTGAATGCTTTTTAGATGCAGATTGGGCAGTTTCTAAGGTTGACTACATAATATAGTGTTTTCTCTAGAGGAAATTTAGTGCAATGGCGAAGCAAGAAGCTAAATATAGTCTCTTGATCTAGTGCTAAATCAGACTATAGCTATGGTACAATCTGTGAGAGGTAATGTGGATATATTAGTTATTGAATGAAGTCAGTCTTATCTTAAGAAAGCCTACTTGTTAAATTATGGTGTTATAATCAAGTCGCCCTGTATATTACTTCTAATCTTGTATTTTATGAGCATGCTAAGCATAATGAGATTGATTACCAGCAAGGATATAGGAGAAGTGAGAATAAAACTGTGAACGTTAGAGAAGGTAAGCAGCTTATTGATTGGTTTTATATTGTTGACCTGCTGGTAACATAAGGAGATTCACAGTCCTTGCTGTAGTTTAAGGAAAATATGAAAAGGGAGTTTGAGATGTCAGATTTGGGAAAAGTGAAGTACTTTCTTGGCATGAAGATCTTTCAATCCATTAGAGACATCTTTTTCTTTCTGCAAAGAGAATACACATTAGATTTACTGAAGAAGTTTGAAAATGGGAAGTTGAAACCAATTGAACTGTGAATATGAAATTATCAAAGGAAGATGGGGAAAACAAAGTAGATTCAATAACATATAGAAGCTTGATTGGCTGCCTTCTGTGTCTCACTGCTTCGAGGTCTGACCTCATGTTTTCAGCAAGCATGCTATCTTAGCCAGATTCACCTTTTGAGCAGAAAAAATGGGCCTAACGTATGTGAAGACGACCGACTGTCTTGGGAGTATGGTATTTGGGAAAGATTGCAGACAGTGATTGTATTTACATTTGATTGACTTATGCAGTAAGTAGCTTCTTTAGATTCTTACTTTAGGGATTAATCAATAAAACAACCATCTACCATTTAAGCAAGGAAAACCTAGCTAAGAGATTCGAATTATGTGCTTATGCTTGAAGGTATAGTCCCTTTTTTCCCTCACTGTGTGTGTCTAATAGGCAGCCTCAGAAATGCTAAGGGATGATACATTTACCAGTGCTGAAGTATGCTGGTGCCAATTTATCTGTGACCACTAAGATCTGCTCTTGTTTTCCTAGGTCAAGGTACAGCATGGCACTTGAAAAGTTTTCAGAATTCAGCTTCTTTTAATTGTGATTTGACATTTTTTGAAACAGAGTGAAAATTGAACTTCTGTATTCTGTAATAGTAAGACCCATTTTGTGAAATTTTTGTCAACTCTCATATTGAAAAAAGATGTATGTTTGTTTGACATTGAAATTTAAATGGAAGTCAATAGCTGGTGTATCAATAATTTACCGCCAAACAAATTGCATTGTGGAGCTATATAACTGACAGAATGAGTGACAAAAAATCAATATTCCAGGGTTAATAATATTGCAAAAGATTTAGACTACTGATCATATTTACTCATATATTGGCTGTAGATAAGTTCAGAATTTTAGTTCACATATGATTTTCTAGTCTGCTTTAATGGGACCGACTTTGGCATAAGCATTACAAAGACGAATTCCTCCAGTTGTTTGCAGATAGCAAGGGCATTTGGTGCTTCTGATATTATTGCTGTGGATATTCAGGATGAGAAACTACAGAAAGCTAAGATTTTTGGTGCAACTCACATTATAAATGCAATAAAAGAAGATCCTATTGAAAGGATTAGAGTGCGTACCTTATCCTTTCATTTATTAATGAGATATGAAAGTTTCAATTCAAATGGCTAATGGATTTCTGATTAATCGTTTTTTAGTTTTGAAGTGCTCTTCCACAAGGCTTTGTGGTTGGTTTTATGTTCAACAAAGATGTGTAAAAAGCTATATTAATCTGTTTGTGGAAGTAATTGTGTATAATGCTTTGCTGTTTCTTGCATATTTATATACATGCTTTTTAATTGGATAATCGTTATCCTGATATTTTTTCAGAATCTTGATTTGCTTTGACATGCAAAAGGGAATATGGAAGGGATTTTCCAGTGGTCAACTTTACTTCAATTTTTTACTTCCTTATATTTGAGTCCTTCTTTGTCCTAATAGAGTGAGAATCGTTATATTAGTCCTTCCTTTTCCCCTTGAATTTGCTTGTTCAAAACTGATGTTTGAATTAATGCTTTTATTGCTATTGTTATCGTTTTACTTTTTCTTATAATTTGTTACTGCTAAGTACCTTAATATTATAATTTGTAACTTCTATTTTTTTTCCCTCAACTTCTCATTAGACATTTATAATAATGAAGGTTTAAGATGTGCTTCATCGTTAATATCCTTAATTTATAAAGTCTTATTAAAATCATCCTTTCTTTTTAAACACATAATTAATTAGTTCAAATATTATGAATTATTTAATAACATACATAACTAAAGGGAAAAAGAAAAAGTGCTAACGAGGAAGTGGAGAACAAACTAGTTGGAACTATCGCAAATGTGCAACTACAATAGTTCAAACAAGTATGAAATTAGAGTTAGTGTTCAGTTGGAGTAAAACCTAATTGTAGAATTGCAATTTGGTATTGTGCAATAGGTTATTTGAGATTTTTTTTTCCTTTCCTTTCTATTTTGATTTTCTATTAAAACCTGCAATGCACAATAAAGGATTAGTGATGATGTTTATTGGAGTTATAGTACAAATATCAACTAATGTGCTAAAGATGAAGCCACTTTTGCTAGTTATATGAAGGTATACCATCTCTCTATGGATTCTTAGAGTTTTGATATTTGTTTTGTAACTTCAATATAAACAAGTTATGGTATGTTGATTTATAAAATTTGTTCCTATGATGCTTTTTCTTGTTGTTATAAGCATACACCTTATCCTGTTTACAACAACCTTTCATTTTTCAGTAGGTATACATTGATAATTCATTTTTCTTTATATTTAAGTTGATTGACAGTATTGACTTATTTTTGGCAGGAAATAACAGGGGGAAGAGGTGTTGACATTGCTGTGGAAGCCTTGGGCAAACCACTGACATTTTCACAGTGTACACAGAGTGTTAGAGATGGAGGGAAAGCAGTGATGATTGGCCTTTCACAAGCTGGTGCTGTTGGGGAGATAGATATAAATCGTCTTGTTCGACGAAAGGTGCGTATTTTGGTGATAAATATACATCATCCATTGTTATTAGTACAATGGATGATGTAGAATAGCTACAAACCCTAGAAACCATGTGAGCACCTAGGTTCGTAGCATGATTTTTGGGTTTGGTGGAAGGGAATTCAGACATCTGAATGTTGTTATTAAGATTAAAGAAACTAATAGGAGATGGTGTTTTGAAATTTGACAAAATTTTCTATGAGGTTCTAGCCTGCTAGTATGAGTAGGGTTATATCCTAGGGATTTGATATCTTTTAAGGCCTATTCGCTTTCCATTTGGAGGAGACTTTTCTATTGTAGAAAGTTTGTTTAGGAAAGATTTTGTTAGCTCATGGTGGGCGTTATGATTTCAATATAGCAACAACTCTTACCTCACCTTTTGCATGAATCTTGCTACCATATGCAATTAGTTTGTGTTGAAATTTTATAATTAAAGTAAATATTGTCTTTCCTAGTTTAGGTTTATTTTCCTATTTGGATTCCTTCCTATATAGGAACAGTTTTTGTATATATATAGATAAGAGTAGAGATTGTATTTTTGATAACACAATATAGAGAAATAAAGCTCTTTCTTTTCAAAACTACATGGTATCAGAGCCATTGCCATGAATTTTTCGACAGCGGTTCCGGTCTGAGATACACACAGCACTGTAAGGAGTGGGAGTTGGTCTTCACCGCCGATCGGCCCTAAGTCCAAATCGCGGACCGTCCGACCATGCGCGTGTGCGCACGTGCCTCCAGAAGCTATGGGATGCCGCTTCACAGACTTATTCACAAATTGGAAACTATGCTCATAGATATGAATTGCGACAGAAAGTTATCGTTCAGTATTTTGCTGAACTTACTGGGTTGTGGGAGGAAGTAAAATGTCCTGATGATGCAACTCAAGTTTAGAAATTGATTGAAGTAGAACATGTGTATGATTTTCTGGTTGGCCTAAAAAACGAGTATGATTAGATTCGAGTTCAGGTTCTTGGACGGGACCCTTTTCCATCTTTGAGACAAGCATATGACTACTGGCAGGATCAATTTGAGACCAGCATGTGTAAGTATGAACTAATTCAGACTGTGAAACTACGAATGACTCGTTAAATCAGTTACGGTTTACTTATTGATATCGTACATCAAACTAGTTGTGTCGATACTAGTGCTTCAAATGGAGTAGCTGAACAGAAAAATAAGCATTTGCTGGAAGTAGCTAGGTCTCTCATGTTTATTATGAATCTTCCCAAATCATATTGCGGGATGCTATTTTGATTGCTGCTTACCTTATCAATTGTATGCCTTTTCGTGCTTTAAATTTTAAAACTCTATTAGAGGCTCTTCAAGGAAAAAACTCTTATATTGTAACTCCTAAAGTCTTTTGCTGTGTTTGTTTTGTTCATCAGAATGGTCTAGGCAAATTAGATCATAGAGCTTTGAAGTATGTGTTTGTTGGTTACTCTAATACGCAAGGGATACAAATGTTATTGTCCTCGTAGAAAATACTTTGTGAGCATGGATGTTACCTTTTTGGAATTTGAGTCTTATTTTTCTTCCTGGTCACCACTTCAGGGGGAGAAGTATCAAATGGAAGAGGTGATGGATAATATTCCTTTCCAGGGGGAGATTCCTGTAGGCATAGATAATAAAAGAGGCCAACCACCCAAATCTCTAGGAAGATTGGATAGACCTGATTTGAAAACCTATACACGGCGGAGTAATACAAATACAACCATGGAGCATGAGACCTCTAATCAATCGTCCTCTCCAATTTCAGGCCCTGAAAATACAGAAGAGCAAGAACCTACCGAGTCTTCTTTAATCCCTGTTGATCTTGATTCTAATCTTGATTTTAACCCTTCTGAGAATGATCTTAATATTTCTATTGCTCTAAGAAAAGGAGTTAGAACGTGCACTAAACATCCCATCTCCCATTTTCTCTTGTAATGCTCTATCCCCGTCCTATTGAGCCTTTGTTTTGTCTGTTTCTTCTGTTTCTATACCGTGGATTGGCAAGAGGCATTACAGGACTCAAAATGGAAGGCTGCAATGGTTGAGGACTCAAAATGGAAGGCTGCAATGGTTGAGGAGATGAGAGCTTTGGCAAAAAATGAGATATAGGATTTTATAATTCCTCCACTAGGAAAGAAGCCAGTTGGATGTAAGTGGGTGTTCATCGTTAAACATAGGGCAGATGGTTCAATTGAGAGGTACAAGGCTAGATTGGTAGCTAAAGGATACAGTTAGACCTATGGTTTGAAAGGTTTAGTAAAGCTATGCTTTCTTTCGGGTACATACAAAGCGATGCTAATCATACTTTGTTCATTAAACATCATGAAGGTAAGATCACATTACTTATTGTTTATGTTGATGATATAGTGATGACTGGAAATAATGAAGTAAGACAATACTCACTTGCAGGAAGTTTGTTAGCTAGGGAGTTTGAGATTACAGTCGATTTTGGAAAAGTTGAGATATTTCCTTGGGATTAGAGTTGTCAGCATCTTGAAAAAAGGGATTTTTCATTTCTTCAAAGAAGCATCCTTGATCTCCTTAAAGAAACTGGTAATGGTTGGGATGTAAACTTGCCATAAATCTAACATTGAAGCCAAATCATAAGCTTTAAGCTGGCAGGTGGGAGTCCTGTTGATATAGGCAGGTATTAAGGATTGGGTTGGGAGGCTCTGATTTATTTGCCTATACTAGACCTAGATATTGTCTATGGCTATAACTTTAGTGAGTCAGTACAATGCAGTGACCCCTTGGGAGTCTCACTTACGAACTGTATATCGGATTCCTAAAGATCATTTAAAATAGCCTCCATGATGGAGGATTTTAATCACCTATTGAAGCCAATCATAAGCTTTAAGCTGGAGTGGGAAGTCCTGTTGATATAGGCAGGTATTAGAGATTGGTTGGGAGGTTGATTTATCTTGCCTATACTAGACCAGATATTGTCTATGCTATAACTTTAGTGAGTCAGTACATGCATGACCCTTGGGAGTCTCACTTAGAAGCTGTATATCGGATTCTAAGATATTTAAAATTAGCTCCATGTGGAGGACTTTTATTTTCTAAACATGGCCATTTGACAATAAAAGGCTATACAGATGTAGATTGGGCTAGTTCACTTGATGATGGGAGATTAACCTCAGGTTATTGTGTTTTTGTTGGAGGAAACCTGGTCACATGGAGAAGCAAGAAGCAGGGTATTGTTGCAAGGTCCAATGCAAAAGCTAAATATAGAGCTATGACACAGGGAATCTGTGAAGTCCTATGTTTTCGCAGATTAACGAAAGAGTTGAAGTTGGTTGAAACAACAAATATATCCTTGTTTTGTGATAGCAAAGCAACCATCAGTATTATGAATAATCCAGTCCAGCATGATCGAACTAAACATATAGAGATTAATCATCACTTTATAAAAGAGAAGACTGTTGAAGGTTTCATAAGTGTGTTCTATATAGCTTCAAAAAAGCAACTAGCTGATGTTTTTACAAAGGGTTTGAGTAACAAGTTGTTTCATCCTTTAGTTAGCAAGTTGAGCATGTGTAATATCTGTACACCAACTTGAGAGAGAGTGTTGAAATCTTTGTAGTTAAAGTAAATATTGTCTTTCCTAATTTAGGATTATTTTCGTATTTAGATTCCTTTCTATGTAGGAACGATTTTTGTATATATATAGATAATAGTAGAGATTGTATTTTTAATAACACAATATAGAGAAATAAAACTCTCTCTTTTCAAAACTACAGTTTGAGTATCGCTTTCTACTCTTTGGTGTAGGTGCTTCTTTTTAGGAAATTTCGTATCTGTATTTCATCATCTAAGCTACTGTGTTGATTCTCTTGTCTTCTTGTATGACAATTTATTTTCCACTCTTTTTACTTCACAACAAAAGTTATTAAAATATAACAGTTTCTGATATTTCTCATGACAATATTAACTTTTTGTTTAATCAATAACACCCATGCAAAAATATCACCTTGGTGGATAGGAACTCTTTTGAAGTGTTGACTTGATTCTCAGTGTGGAAGAATGGATTGATCTTCCTTTCTTGAGCATCACTACCTCATCAACCAATCTTTTACCCACTGTGAAATGCCTTTCCCTCTTTTGACAAATAAACAATTATCATCTTTTTCTTTATTTAATAAATGTCCTTTTCATTCTAAATGGAAGTAAGCTAGAGAATATGAAGGCTATGTGCGCGTATCCATTTAAGGAATAATTATGTGGCATTGTTAGTCTTTTTCAATTACTTCAAAATTATGAAAGTCTGAGACTTACTCTTGAGAGTATTAATGAACTTGAGCTGAGTGGAATGTTGTCCAATAGGGGTGTAATTAAACTGATTTAAATACTCATATTTGACTCCACTCGAATCAACTAGATTACCATTAAAAACTCATAGTCAAGTGTCTTACTGAACTTGAGTTTAAGCTTGAAAAGAATTGATTAAGCTTGGTTTCAAGTTCAAATTTGCTATTCTGTACTTAAAAATATATAAGAATTAAATTTTCAATTATGGTATCTCACCCTTTGAGTTGAGATTTTATTGTAGTACTTGAACTTTGTTTAGCTTGCTACTTGAATTAACCAAGTTTGAGCTTGACTTTTATCGTAAGTCAGAGTTCAAATAGTTCATCAGTACTTTGAGTGTTTTGACTTATTTACATCTGTTTTATTTGAAGGTTTTTTAAATTTCATGCCAGTCATTATCATGGCATTTAAGGCATCAGATATATTGCCAAAATTTGTAATCTAAATACTAGAAGTTGCTACATGAGTTTGAATTGAAATATTCATTGTACTTCGGGGGTTTCAACAAACTGGTTGTTTAGGAACAGCTAGATTGGTTGCCTTGTTTAGTTGGGAAATTAAGCTGAGCAACCTTGTGGTTTTGAAGGTCCCAGAAAAATGTGTGACCACGCGCATGTTTTTATTTTTACTCCTTCATTGAAGGATACATGCGATTTCAAAATTGTTCAAACTCACGTTTTTGTTTTTTTTTTCAGAATTGTACTTCATATATGTGATTACTTAATTATACTTTGCCGGTCAACTTTACTTAGACATACTTACTTATGCCTTGTGGTGGGAAGGGCGCTTCTATTTTTTTGTTTTACAAAAAATGGATAGCCCTGGGTTAGAACTAGATTTTTCATAACTATTATTGTGAAAATTTGACTCCTTTTAACTCGTGGAACAGATTCAAGTGATTGGGTCTTATGGAGGAAGGGCAAGGCAGGATCTTCCCAAGTTGGTTAAACTTGCAGAAACAGGTATTTTTAATCTGAAGAATGCTGTTTCAAGAAAATACAAATTTGAGGAGGCAGACAAAGCATTCCAGGATCTCAACCAGGGAAACATTGTTAGTCGAGCTGTAGTTGAGATAATGTAGTTCTTCTTCCAAGCCAAATTTCCCCCTTATAATAAAGAGGTATCTATTTGACTAGAATTTTGGGCACCTTTAAGAACCTGGCGGTACTCTTGCTGTTGTGATTTTTTTCTTTTTGCAGTGGCTATGATTCAGATCATCTTTTTGGTTATCTTATGCCATTATTCTGCAAGCTGTATCCCAACTACAGCTCCTTTGCTGCCGGGCACTCGCGTACACATTTTGCTCTAACCCTTTGAAGTAGGGTTTTGATTGTCTTTGGCTAGAGATGTAACGTTGTTTGTGCTGTACAATTTACATCTTCCTCTTATTTCTCATAAGCATATTGCAATTGGAAGTTCATTGTTCTAAGATGGGTAGGGGTCTGCTCGTCAACATGCTGCTTGAATCATGGCCGACTAGGGGTGGACAAACTCTGTTAATTATCGATTTACCAAGCCGAACTGAGGTTACTTGGTGAAAATAATTCGGTAAATAGTCAGTAAATATTTTTTAGACAATTCAATGAGGTTACATGGTAAAAATAATTCGGCAAACGTTAAACAATTGGTAAATATTTTTTAGACAATTCAATAAATGGTAAATATTTTTTAGACAATTCAATAAATGGTAAATGGTTTGGTAAAATATTTAAAAAATTTGAAATTCCTGATTCATTCAAAATGGCACTGTTTTATTTTTTTTTATATGAAAAAAAAGTCAATCCTTGTATGGTAAATTGATTAAGGGGAAAATAATTATTTTTTTTCTGAGGTTTTATAAAATTAATTAACTCGTCATTGTTTTTTTTATATGTTAGGTATTTAGTCCCTAAGGTTTACGGCACAGAAAATAAGTTTTTCCGTTAAATGGGATTAAAAAGTAAAGAGAGAGAGAGAGGAGGGACAGATTCTAAAATGATAAATGTACCCTTAGTGAAATATGGAATGATCCATATTCAAGAAACAAACTTGACATGAACCTATCATCACCGACAAAAAGACCACAAATGGCGTATTCACCACAGCTACAGCCACAAATACCACTACCAACACGATCACCATCATCACAGCTAACTACCATCACGAAAAATATTTTTCACCCCACGAGCACTGATGCAAGTACTTCCAAACCATAATCAGCCAACCACCATATCAAAGTTTAGATTAGGAGTAACATATACAAAGCAATTCCAGTGGATAAAATTATTTATGCATGAACCTTTTGGCATTTGTAGGAAAAGAAAACAATGCCAAACCATGTAAAAATTTTTTCTCAAAGTCAAGCATGTAACAACCACGCTCAAAATTGGTCTTCATCTATCCCTGCAAGCGCATCTATGCAGACCACCAACTGGTTTTGCCATTATAATCTGCAAAACACAGGAAAAAAATTCAACTATAAAGTTAAAATTCAAAGGAGAAGTAACAAAATTAACCAATCAAAATCAAGAACCAATCTCAACAGTTAGGTAAAAATAATTCGATAAACGGTAACCAGTCGATAAATATTTTTTAGACAATTTGATAAATGGTAAATGGTTCGGTAGAGTATTTAAAAAATTTGGAACTCCCAAGTTTACTAAAATCTGCATTGTTTTATTTTTTTTTTTTAAAAAGTTAATCCTTGTATGTTAATTTAATTAATTCAGTAAATGCAGTAAATCGGTAAATGGTATATTTGATAAATATTGAAATCGGTTGGTAAATGGTAAATACTCAATCAGTAAATCGATAAATGTAAATTTCGTAAACAGTTAACTGAACCGACCAAATATATACCCAACTTTATTCATGTCCATCAATGTAGATGAGGGATTCATGGATTTTTTTCTCCCTTTAACTCTAATCTTTCATTGACGCAGCTGCACATGCGTCTTGTCTTTTTTAGAGGCTTGAATCAAAAGGCAACACAGAGTGGAATATAAATGTCATATTATAATAATTTAAGGGCATTTTTCAGTGTGCTTATTTGATACTAACATCATGATTTCGAATGGAAGCCTCATCTGTTTAGGCTGTATATTGAGATCTCTTTGGTTAGAAAATTCTTACAAACTACCGTTAGATAGTCCACGCCTTCTAGTTCTAGGGTAAATTTGTTTTTTAATTTTCACCATTAGATGGTTATCCATCAATTAAAAAGAACATGGCATGATTTCAGCTATAAAGTTTTAATTGTATTATTAACATTTCATTTCATTTGAAAAGAAATGTCACTTTTAATGAATAGATACGCAATGGCTGAATTTAGAGGTTTGAATTGGATAGCTTCTAGTTGTCTCAGTTTTATGGTGAATCTGCAGGTTGATGAGTGGAAAAATTATCATATGAATCAGTCTTGCATGATGCATAAGTTACTATCTTGCCTAGTGTAATTATTATGTAATAAGTTGAAGATATTGAACAAAATATCAGGTAGTTATCCTTCTCTGGTGATGCAGATGCTCTGATCAATTTTCAATCGGAAAAATGCAAGATCACTCCAAGTGACTATAGTTTGTGCTAAGTTGGCTGGTTGTTGACGAATCGTCGGGTGAAACTCTAGTATTATGAAGAGTACCTTGGTTGGACTATGGAGACTTGGTAGGGGTACTTTTATGTTTGAGTTTGAACTGAAGGTGTTATTGTTCAATTTTTTTCATATTGTGGATGTGAAGGGGGTTCGAAATGGAGGGACCTTGATTTTTAATAATTGTATTGATTTTGCAAAAGATCCCTATTGGAGATGATTTGACTTCGTACCCTTGTGGGTGTAAATTCATGATTTGTTGAAGGGGTTAATGTCTAAAGTGATAGCAAAACGGATGGGAGACTTCGTTTGGCGGTTTGTTAAATATGACCCAAAGAATGATAGTAGAGGATGGCAGTAGTATATTAGACAAAGGGTTTGCTTGGATGTCTGTAACCGTTGAAGAGATGGAAGAAGATCCATACCCCTAATGGCGTGGTTTGCCCAGTGAACTTCAAATATGAACAACTATCCACATTTTGCTTCATCTACAGGTGCTTAACGCATAATGAGCAATATTTTGAGAAATTGTTTCATGTTCCACAAACTGAAGTTCGAAATGGATGGGATAGTTGGTTGAGGGCTTCGGTTTGACAAGGGACACAAAAAACTGAGGACTGGTAATGGTTTCATGATCCAATAAGGACTCTGTTGTATGCAAATTATGGTAATGTGTCAAAATATTTTACTAATTCAGGGTCTAACCTTCACTTTCACCTTGAACTTTTTGAGTAGTTGCAATTTCACTCTAAATTGACATTTATACCCTAGGCACCTTAAACTTATCAACTTAGTTGCAATTGCATTTTAATTTGCTTTTAGAGTGTAATTGTACCCTAAAAGTGAATTACAACACCATAAACTTGTCAATTTGTTGCAATTGCACCTTAAAAGTAAACTAGAATTAGAATTTTGAATAAGATAATGTAAAAATGAACTCCATAACCAACTAAGTATTTAAACAATAAATGAAAAAACCAAGATTGCGTCTTTAGTTTTAAAGCTGGACCAATTTTAAGATGTAAAAATAATAAGTTGGATATCAATTCAAGATTACACTTCTTAGGATGACGAAATGCATATAGCGATTCCTTTGCCACTAGTAGCCGTGATTTAATTTCCTACAAGGGTAGAAAGATAATAAGCTGAAGCACAAAAGAGGCAAAATGATTAAGTTTTTCTTTTAATTCAAATGTTATGTTTTGCATTTAACTAAGTTTGGATTGGTTATGGAGCCCATTTTTACATTATTTGAATCAAAATTTCAATTTTAGTTTACTTTTAAGGTGCAATTGCAACAAATCGACAAATTCATAGTGTTGTAATTCACTTTGCACCCTAAAAGCAAATTAGATTGTAATTGCAAATAGGTTGATAAGTTCAGGGTGCTTAGGATACAAATGTCGATTTAGAGTGAAGTTGCAACTATTTAAAAAGTTCAAAGTAAAATTGATGGTTAGCCCGTAATCTAGTGGAGAAATTTGCAGGATATGGGCCTGAGGATAGTCGTGTTAGAGAAGTTCAACTACAATCTACTTGTAACACCCGCTGCTCAATCCCGAAAGACCCGACGGTGGATGCCACATTCGGTGCCAGCGGCATCGTCCTAACCTACATATAAATCATACAACCATATTATGAATTAGAAGTGACTTAGTATTCACAAGTTTAACAAGTAATAATATTTTATTTTGAAAATGATTTGGGGGAGTCCTACAAAAAAACTGCAAGAGTTTTCCCTAAAAATAGAAGTTGCCAAACATATGAATACAAAGCACTCCCAAATTCAAACTCCAATAACAACACAATAGCACTTGGAGTCCTAGCAAAAACTGCAAGAGTTTTCCCTAAAAATAGAAGTTGCCAAAACCATATGAATACAAAGCACTGCCAAATTTCAAACTCCAATAACAAACACAATAGCGACTTCTATAATTTATTACTACATAATTTTCTCAATAAACATTTTTAATATTCCATTACTTAAATACATTCATTTATATACAATATATATATAAGTCCTTATGCTTCTTAATCATACAACTATCTTAAACATATTTTATAATCCAAACATTAAATAAAAATCTCAATGCTTAAATATACACCAAACTAATTTATCATTACATGCTTAAGTTATAATTCAAATAACATAATCTCCGAAAATGTAATAATTATACATGCCATGATTCTTAAGTACCTCAAACTAATTCTACCACTACTAAATAGTCTCTTCTGTTCTGAAGCTACTCTTCTGATCTTCAAGTAGCAACCACGGACTTCAACCTGCGCGTGATAAAAATCTACGAACTGAGTATAAAACTCAGTGGTGCTTATAAATGACAAACTTAATAATGTTGCACTGGCAACACACTTAAAATATAAATTTTCATCAAAAGAACATACATTTACATTTATAGCAAAATAAATATCAAATAAACTTATAATTAATAACAAAACTTATAATTAAATAACATAAATAATTTAATTTCTTCCAAATCATAAATTCATTACTTGGACATTTATTATAAATTACACATATATTTTATTGTGTTAAAACCATGTATTCGAATTTATCATGCTTGAAAATTCATTTTGATAAACAATAATCATTTATTTCCAAACTAAAGGTTTTTACTGAAATAAATAATCTCCATTCATTGTTAAGTGCCTTAAAATATTTTCTAAGGGCTCGCATAACTTAGGAGAAAGAGAAGCAGATAGGCCTTTTTCATAATTTTTCATAATGGCCTTAGGTCGCCAACCTTTTCATTAACATATAGAGCGCGTCCGCCCTAACATAAGACACCTCACGTGTGCCTAGCATATGATCATAGCTTCTTATCAATAATGGCATCAATGTCGA